AATAATAATAATAATAATAATATAAATATAATAAAAAAATAAAGGGAAATAAGGTAAAGATGGAGGTAAAATAATAAGTTATTAATTAAAACTAATTTTTAAAATTAATAATAATTAAAGAAAAAGAAAAAGAAAAAGTTAATAAATAATTAATAGGAATATATATATAAATTTTATTATAAAAGTAATATATAACATATATAATTTATAAAATAAATATAAACTTTATACTTATATACCTTTATAATAATAATACCCTATATAAATAAACTATATTAATATATTTATTATAATACTTTATATTATATATTTATATAATTGAACTTTTTATTTTATATTTAATTAATAGATTAGTTATATATTAAATTAAAGATAACCTAATTAAAAAAAAAGGAATAGTTATTATACTATAATATTTTAAGGCCTTTAAAATATATATACTTTATATATATTATATACCCTTCTTATATATGTTTTAAAGGAAATTCTTCCTTTTTTTAAGCTTTAATTTTATTAAATACCTATTATAAAATTAAAGAAATTTATAATATTATATTTAACCTTTGAAATTTAACCTACCTATAATATTTTTAAATATTACTTTAAGGATATTTATAATATTAATATATAATAATTTTAATAGGTAAATATTTTATTAAAGCTTTTTTAAATAAGGTATTTCCTTCATTTTAATTTAAATATAATATTTATATATATAGGTTATTTTTTAAAGCTTAATATATTTAACGTTTATTAATTTTTTAATTAAGGATTTATTAATATATTTAAAATGTTTATATTATAATATAAGTTTAAAATTAAAAAGGAAATAAGCGGTAAAAATAATAATAATAGCTTTAATATTTAATTTAGGTTAATTAATTATATATAAGCTATTATATTTTATACTTTTTAAAAATATATTATTCCTCTTTAAAGTATAAGCTTTATTATTTTAAAAGAGGAATTTAATATTAAATCCTATAAAGTATAATATAAAGATTAAGTTTATATTAATTATTAAGTAATAAATTATATTTTTTAATATAATAGGTTTTTTTATCCTATTAACTATATTAATAAAGGTATAATTTCTATATTAAGTTAATTATATTATTAATCTATTAATTTTAATAGTTATAAAGTATAGTATAATATATAGGTTAATAAAGCTAATTAGGTTTAAAAATATAGGAATATTAATATTATTATTAATAATTAATATTATTTTTAATACTTTTATAAAGCTATTAGTTTAATTCTTATTAATAATAATAAATAAAGCTTTTATAACTTTTTTTAAATAGTTATCCTTTAATATATTATTTAAAAGTTTTTTTATAACTTTAATATTAATATTTTTAATATTAGGTTTATTTTAAAAGGTATTAACGCATCTCCCACTTGACCTGGCCACCCAATTAACCTGGCCACCCCCTTAGCCCATACAAATAACGTCGGTGCGCTAATCACGTGATAATTTAATAACTTTACGAATATTGGTCGTATAAAATAATAGAATATACCATTAGATTTGTAATAAAGAGAGCTATTTAACGGTACCCTTCACTAGTTTATACGACTCGTATTCGCTGAGTTATTAAGCAATATGCTAAAGTAAGCGCTAAATTAATCCTTGCTTAGCGCCCCTTTAGCGTATTGCTTAATATCTCGCTTAATAAATTTTGTAAAAAATAGTAAAAAATACCGCTGGATTCCTTATTAAATAACGGATCTAACGGTACTAATTATCGAATTGTGGGACCAATATTGGTTAAGTTATTATTGATTGAAACATTGGATTTTTATATAGGTTAAGGGGGTGGCCAGCTCAATTGGGTGGCCAGGTCAAGTGGGAGATGCGTTACCTTAAAGTAACTTTTATATAAATTCTTTAAATATTAAAAATATTAAATTAGGTATAGCATTAATAAAATTAATAGAAATAGGTTAATTTATTAATAATAAATAAAGTTTATAATAATTTTTAAAAAAATATAAAAAATATAATAAAGTTTATTTTTCTTTTCCCCCTTATATTTTTATCCCTTTTAAATTTCTTTACTTTATTTTTATATTATTTTATTTATTATAAATATATATCTTTATTTTAATTTAAAAGTTTAAGCTTAAAGTAAGTTATAAAATAAGGAAAAAGATATATTTTATTATAATTAGGATATATCTTCCTTTTATTATTAAATTATTATTTAAATAAAAAAAGATTAACTTTAATAGTTAAAAGGGTAATTTATATTATTTATTCCTTTTAACTTTATTTAAAGTATAATACTATATTAATTATCTTTTTTAAAATAATTACTATTTATATTATAATTTTAACTATATTAATAATTAAAATTTTAAAAGTATTAATTTTTTAAGTTATTAAAAAGGAATTAAATTTAAATTTAAAACTATTAATAAATTTTTTAATAATATATAAATATAGTTAAGTTAAAGTTAAATTAAGCTTAATTACATTTATTTAAATTTATTATAATATAGTAATAAATTAAATAATACTATTAATAGATTTAAATGTTATTTTTTTTTATTATTAATAATATTATATAAATTAAACCTTTTTTTTAAGCTTATAGTTTTAATATAATTTATTTTATAATAAAGGAAATATATTAAAGGGCTTTATTAATATAAGTTAAATTTATTAATAAGTATTTTATAATAATTTATTTTAAATTATAATATTAATTATATTATATTTTTTAAACTATTTATTTTTTTAATAAAAAAGGTTTTTTTACTTTTTTTTTCTTTTTATTAAAGGGTTATTTTATAAAGCTTTTTTAATAATATTTAAATAAACCTATTTATATTAAGTTTTTTTTATATATTTTAACTTTATTTTAACTATTATTTTAAACTATTAAAAAAAGTTCCTTTTTAAATTTTTTAATATTATTTAATAATATTTTAATTAATTATTAATATTATAGGTAATATAATAATAATTAATAAGGTTAGCTTAATTAATTTAATAGATAGGTTAATAGCTATAGGGGGCTTTATAATAAAGGGTTGAATAACGATTAATAATTTTTAATTAATTTTTTTTTAAAGTTTAATATTATAATATATTATTAATATAGATCTTTTAAAAGGGTATTTAATAAGAAAAGGTTTATAAGGTAGTTATCCTAGAAGTTTTTAATTAAGATAAAGGGTAAATTTAAATTAAAATCTTTAATTTAAAAATTAATATTAAAAAAGGGGGCATTAAAGTTAATAAAAAGGTTCTTTAGGGTAATTAATTTTAAGGTTTAATAATTAAATAAAATATTAACTTTATAATTAAAAAGATTTTAATTATTAAGTATTAAAGGGTAAAAGGAAATTTTAAATACTTTTAATAATAATAATAAAGATAAAAGTAATTAATTAATATAATTTAAGTTTAAATTAATATTTTAATTATTTATATTTTTTTAATTAAAAATATATTTAAACTATATTAAAACTTTATATATAAAATAGGGAAAAGTTTAAATATTTAAAAAATAAATAATATTAAATGCTTAAAGTTATATTTAATTATAAAGGTTATAATAAATATTTAATAATATTTTTACTATTAAATATTAATAATATAATTATAATTATTCTTATAATTATTAAAAGGAAAAGGTTAAATTAAGGATTTTTAAATAGTTAATTATATATAATCCATTTAGCTTTTATTTATTTTAAAGAATTAATAGGTTAAAAATTTTTTAAGTTAACCTTTAAAACTTAGCCTTATTAATTATTATTCGAAGTAGTAATATTTTAATATAATCTTTATTTATAGGATTAATAAAGTAGAATTTTAATACATATTATTATTTTATATTTATAAATAGTGGAGGGTTAAAAATAAAGTATAATTTTAACCCTTAACAGCTAAAGATATGCTTAAATAAACGTCTAAGTTTATAACCTATTAAAAGTAATATATATAATCCTATTAGATTATTTAAAAGTCTAAGTTATAATATAGTTATCTGGCTGGATGAAGGTCTTATATATAGATTCCCAGCATTCCAGTATGTGGAATGTAAGTATTACCGCCTTCCCTTTCTGATACTATCGAGAGTCTGTGAGCGCGAGAAGTTGGCTGTCAGCAGTATGGCCAATTAACGGTGAGGCGTGAGGGCGCAGAGGGTTTAGAACCAGACCAAATCAGCCCAGGTCAGGACGCCGCCGTACAACCACGGGCCGTCCTTGCTCGCCTTTCCGGCCAGGACTCGTCCAAATTAATTGAGGTACTTGGGGGTTCAATTCATGGCCCAATCCCTCGCACGGCGTAGACATTGTTCTCTTGCTCCTCGTAACAGAGGTCAATGGTGACAGGGTGATGGCAGTTGTGAACTTCGTTACTAAACCCATCCAATGCGGCCAAGGCACAGGCGTTGATCCTGAAGATATCGTCGCCTCCATTGCGGATAATCCAAGTTTTAGCGTGAGATTTGCGAAATGACGAGGTCGCCGTACTTTAGGATGGGAGGTGCCAGAGGAGTGGGATTTAGCTCGTCGCCTGTGGTAGTCTCGCGGATGTATGCATGCAGCATATTCATGTCACGTTCTACAAAGGCCGTGTCGGAGTATGGAACGCTTGCCTCGACGAAGCAGAGACGGATGTGCTCACCCCGACCGGGGATGGCATGCCAGCAGATGAGTTCACAAGGAGATTGTTCGTAGAGTGCGATGTGGTCATGATCACAAGCACCTAGGCAAAATGAACACGTTTATTGTTATCTGTGGGAGAATATTTTGCCTTACAATAGCTATTTCAAGAAAATTATAGATGAAGATGGAGAAGCAGGTAAAATAAGATGTTACCAGTGAAAGGGATGGCACTAGCATTGTACAAATCGTGTTAAGCACACCGCCATTCTCAATTTACCTTTTCAGCCCGAATCCATCGTAATATATCATATAGACACCTTACAGTAGGCCTTGAGTGAGACCCGACAGCTTGGGGCTTTTGATTGATGCCACTTGAGTGATCAACTCGTTCAGCGATACTCAGATGCGTAGGAATTAGCCTATCTCTTTGTATTCCAAAATTTCTTACGAACTTAATCTCTTGAGCAGGTGAAAGGGATATGAAGCCCCATATTTACTTCTAAAAGAATCAATTAGCGGGTAGTTGCACAAGGCGTTACTAGCAGGTAAACGATAGGATGGAATTCATACCTTCAATCTATCCATAATCTGCTGTAGTTTCGAAAAAAAACATGTCTTGATTCAACTGAAACTCGAACTCGCTGAATTGGGGGCACCTGCTATTCGTCGACTTGCTAGACGCGCTCATCGAATTTAGCGCACGGGTAATCCGCTCTCGACGCCTTGGATTATTCACCCCTTTTATCTCGTCTTCACCCACCTCCTTCGCGATGAGCTTGTTAATGTAGAGCAGGAGGCCGACCGAGCCGGCAGCAATCGCTGTCGCGACGTAGCTTCCGCTGTACATCTTGACGAGCCCGTCCCGACCCGTTTTCAGGGGCACATTTTCTCCCGGGAAGCAATTGTCGTAATCGTCGCCGTGGACCCAAGAGCATTTGTCACCGTTTTGGTGCCGGCGTCGATGCAGATGCATTTCTGTGTCGAGGTGGGAAGGCTTGCTTTAGAGTCGCTGCCATGCGCCCGCGAAGAAGGCGACGCCGCAGTGCTTCATGCTGCAACTCTCCAAGGACTTATTGCGACCTGAAATCCCATATATAAATAAACCTAGAGTTCCCTAACGAACAGAAGAAGGACTGTGGCTATAAGAGATCCTTAAAATTTTATTAGTTGAATATAACTAAGCCCCAAGCCCTCTATATGAGCCCTTGTGCTGGATATAACGATTACCTCTATAGAGTCACGCCATTATAACGTATCATGATGGTACGACGAGCGCCCCTACCACCCATAGGTTAAGAAAGGAGCTATAAGAAATAGGTGCCGTAGAGAGATATAAAAAAAAAAAAAAAGACAGCATACAATTCTGACCAGATTTCAGGTAATTGGCTCCAATCTGACAGTACGGGAGGTACCGCTCCGGGGAAGCAATGAGGATTTCCTAGATCCGTGTACGGACACAATCAATCAATCAATCAAATAGACGTATTCAATACCTTCCGCACAGCTGAAAGATCATCCACCACATTCTGTCCCTCTGATTTCAAGTATTCTAGTCCCCTCGCACCTAACCTGTACTCATTCGAGCTCCCCTTAGAGGTTTCTAGCAGAGAAATGAAATCTTCCCACTGGGTTGAAAACGCGGCCCAACACCCTTACATTCCCAGGCATCCTGGCTTCCTCAGCCCTTCGTAGTCGCTCCTCTTCCCTCTGCCTCGCCTCCTCTTCCTTCCTCCTCTTCTTTTCTTTCTCTTCTTGCACCTGTTGTCGTATTATTTTCGCTCTTTTTCTTCGGTGAATTTCAAGGTCCTTTTTAATGATCTGGCAAAGGGATTCCGACGATACCTCGAGTAGGGGTGTTTTCGACTTTCTTACTGAGCTTATATCGCTCTCACAAACACAGTCCTCTAAAGAAATGTGTAGTGGCGTTGATTGAATTGCTTTGCCTGTTGCACCTCGGAATTTCTGTAGTGTACATTAACTTTTGAGCTTTACTACTAATATTTGCAAAGGTTGTACCTGTTCTTGGACGCGCCTAATCGCTACTTTGTTGTTTTTCTGGATCGTTGCTCGCCATACCAAAATTGAAGCTTCTCCTGTTATATTTTTCTCATCGGTTGCGTAGGCCTGCGCTTCGCTTTCATTCATTTCGCTAGTGCGGTACATTTTCTTTAGCCTTCTCTCATTCTTACGCTCAGCTTTATATATCGCGCCCATATATACTCCAATAACGGTGCGGATTTTGCCATTTGAACGTTCTACTATTCGAAGTTAGTTATCGCTATATTAAGTATAATTTATAAGAGATGCGAAACTGCAAGCACACAACCCTAACATTAACTTTACTTTGAACAAAGCAAACTAGCATCTCTAGGAGAATAGCTTACTATATGCTTTAGCCTTATCTTTTAGCTCTTCTTTAGTGTGGTGAGAAAATTCGATCTCAAATAACAAGGCTGGATAATCGCACGCAAGCTTGCAGTCATGTAATATTCCGCCATCAGGCGATTTCGAATCCTTCGCTTCTTTTAAAGCAGGAAGTTCAAGATGTTCGTTGCCGTGTGATCGAAGGGTCTTAGCGGCATTAGAGATTTCAGGATTGTTCGATTTCTCAAGCTCGGCTTGCCACAATGTAAACCGCTTATTCAATTCCCCCGCTATTCCTTCATGTACCCTAGTAACCATTCGGATTTCGAACTGCTGTATAGAGTGTGTATACTCAAATCTATGGTACTACGTAAGTATTGTCCACGACATATCGTAAGGGAACCTACCGTAGTTTGTCTGGAAAGTCCTCGCTATCTTGTATTATTTCAAACAATTGCTTGTACTGGCTAGGAGTAAGTTTTCTAGTTGGATTCTTGATACAAGTACGTCTGATTGTTGGTAGTGATTTGATCAATCTGATCGTATCCTGTACCCGGGCATCTGCCCGGGAGTTACGTTGCCGGGCCAGGTTGAATAAGCTGATAACTGAGTTACGTAGCGATGCAAGCAAGGAAGAGATTACTTCTTGCTCCGGGCACGAGGCTGTAGATGCTTCTTCGCTGACCTCGCTATCAGTAGAGTAATGCGAGCAGTGATCGCTCTCATCTACAATTTTCTCGTAGTGCTTGTTGTGGATTAGGTATTGCGAGCAGCAACCTGTACTTGTAGCGTCCGCGATCTCTTCGGTCGAGGGTATGTCTGATGAGATAGTTGTCACAGGACCAATATCCCTTTGACAATCCAGACACACGGGCGCCTTCTTGCGATGACTAGGTACGTTAATGATGGATTCCGGCGAGGTATCAGGGGTAGGCTGTCCACAGCTACCCCAGTTCCCCGCTTGACCAGGCTCTGGCGTTGTGGGTTGGGTGCCTGCTTCGGAAGAATTGGGGCTTGATTCCTGCTCGAATGAATTGATGATTGGAATTCCATCTGCCGCATGCATGGCTTGCATCTTGGGACTGGTTATTGTATAGAAGCAGTGTTGGGTATTGTAGCTTATATGACATGGTTGGGGTATTTCAAGAGTACCAGAGAATCGGGTCAGTAAACCATTTTGCCCTCTTGAGTGGGGTTTGCGAGAAGTAATCAGCGCGCTTACTTCGGTTAATTAAAAGCATAATAGTCTAAGAATGGAAGATCGTCAGTACTCCCTTGTGGCGTACTCCCTTGTGGCCTATTGTATGCTAATGGTCAAGGGTATGGTTTGAATAGAGGCACCAAAGTTGCAGTTTGTCCTTATCATGTAGTACCCGGTGCTAGAGTGGCTGCTACGTTGGAACCTATTAGCGCCCGTCGAGATGCGCACAACGACAATCCAACAGGATTGATTGTTCGTCGTCGCAGACCGAAACCAGACGACCAATACCAGATGACCAACACATAGGTTCGCCTCCTTTGGTGCATGTTCCTCCTGCTGACCCTAGCCTTTGAGTTGGTTTCAACAATCTACCCACGCATCGACCAGGGAGAGTGGGTGTAAACCAATTGGACGAGGTTGGATCTGCAGTATACAGGTGGACGCAGTCTGACTTCAGTTAGCTGCAATATTTGCACACTGTAATATACTTCGAACAACGTACCAAATCAGGGGTAGTAAGGTATAAGGTTATTGTAGGTTATTAACCAATGCCTTTTTTTAACTATATAATTAGTTTGCTAGCCCAGACTGCCTAGGATTCTGGCGTCTATTTTAAGAAGCGAAGTCTATATAACCTTACTTTCCAATATTGCCCAATATTGCCTGTATATCTTTGAAAGATCATGAACAGGTCTTTCGTACGGCCGAAGTGCAAGGCGAACTGCATATTCATCTTCGTACAGAGGTTACACGTGTAACATCCAGCGCCGGGGAGATGATAAAGTCGTTATGAAGATTGGTATTGAATCTGAGACTGATATTTTGACGACGACGAAAGCTGCCAGAAAGCGCCTATTTGGCGGCGCTACGACCGAGCCCGTAGACCCTATCCATATTTCACCTAAGATGTTTAGGATCCGCAACCTTTACGGAGCTGAGGAGCTACAAGAGGGCAGTTCCGCACTGTTACACGTGTAACCTCTGTACCGGCTGAAATATGCAGTTCGCCTTGCACTTCGGCCGTACGAAGGACCATTGCAGGCTGTTCATGACCTTTCAAGACATGCAGGCAATATTGGGCAATATTGGAAAGTGAGGTTATACAGACTTCGCTTCTTGAAACAGACCCTAGAGACCCAGGCGGTCTAGGCTGGCAGATCATTTGTATATAGAGTCATTTCAAGCCACCAACAGCCGAGAAGGAGTTGGTTGGTCAAGGACTACTGCAGCCCTAGTAGATCATTGTAATCTGAATTCCCAGTTCCAAGCCCAGTTTAACTGCCCTTGTTATACGCACTCATGTCGATGGAGACGATTGACATGAGTAGATTCACGGGGGTCGAGTTGTCATTGCAGAATTAGCAACAAGCTAGCCAGCAGGGAGGTGCAGTCAACCCGAAGCAGCAAGGGGGTAGTGGTACAGCTGGAGGGGAGGGGGATAAATGACTGGTTCGCATCCAATAGGTATTTGTCATGTGGCACTTGGGGTAATCCCGACCGTGTAGCCCGAGTGTTGGGTAATATAGCCACGTCGAGAGTCCTGTCGATTGGGGGCTACAAACTTTGAGAAGCAGACGATTTGGTAATGCTCAAAAGAGTGGCTAGGAATTTGACGGAGGGTTCATGTCGTTATCGTCAAGGCTAATTTATTAATTCTCACTATGAAATAAGATTCCTTATATACTGATAGATATTGAGCAATGATATTCTCGGAGGCTATTCGGGTCAGCTTAGGTAATTGCATATATATCTTAATAAGCAGTTTAGAAGATGATTAATAAGTGGGGTAAATGGATGAGTCATTCAGTTATCCAGTACGGAAGGAGAGTTGTATGAATAGGAATACAGAATACGGTCTTCCTAACCGCGGGGATAACCCGCTGTATATAAACCTAGCCGCTGCCCTGAAGGTGCCCTGAAGGTGCCCTGAAGGTGCCCTGAAGGTGCCCTGAAGGTGCCCTGAAGGGTGCCCTGAAGGGTTCCCTATCGAACCCACTGGAAGGTTCGAACCTATAACTCATACCCAGATGACTAATACCCTGCAGGTGAATTACCTAATTAGGTATTAGGTAAACAACCTGACTGACATCCCCTCTTAATTTTATAAGCTGAATACAGCTTATAGAATTAGCAATCCAGTTCCAGGAAAAATGAATAAAACCTGTTAAATTAATAAATAAATAGATAAAGGAAAAAAGTAAAACCTTTATAAGAATCTTAAAGGAAAAGTGAAAAAACCCTTTATATATATATATATAAGGTAGTAAATACCTTAAGGTGAGGAAAAAAGCATAATAGTCAATATATAAAAACCTTGTTTATTAATTATTATTAATTATTTAAACTTATAATGCGCGATTATTATAAATATAAATGAATATATTTAATGAAAAAACTATACATTGTATAGAAAAAAGTTATTTTATTTGAAAAAACTATATAATGGATAAAAAATCATGTTAAAAGTAAACCTTTTATATATAAGGAAAAACCTTTTACGTATATATACCTGCTAATGCTTTAAAAGCATTAAACTCTGGTTTAGCTGATATTTTGATTAGAAAATTAGCTAAATTGTCTTTAGAGGGGGTATGAATTAATTGAACTTGTTTATTATTTACTGCATTTTTTAAAAAGTAGTAAATAATAGAAATATGCTTGGATTTTTTATAAAATTCTTAATTTTTAGCTAATTTAATAGCGGATTGATTATTTATTAATATAATAGGAATATTATCCTTATAATTAAGTTAAAGGTTAGCATTTAGGAATGTAATTATATTGGATAAGTAAATAGCTTTTTTAATTGTTTCCTTTAAAGCTATATATTTTGCTTTATACATGCTTAAAGTAATAGTTTTTTATAATTATAAAGCTTAGCTAATTATATTATTATTATTTAAATTATTTAAATAGGAAATTGCATAATTATTTATGGATTTTTTAGTATTAATTTTATTAGCTTAATTGTTATTTGTATAACCTTTAAGGGTTAAATTATTACTAATACAATTATATTTAATACTAACTTCTTTATGTTTTAATAAATAATACTATATATAGTTTAGGGCATTAAAATGCTTTGAATTGGGGTTATTTATAAAACGAGAATAGTATATTACTATAAAGGTAATATTTATTTTAGTTTTTAAAGCTAGGTATAATAAATTGCTTATTTACTTTTAGTAGCTATTAATGTCTTTAGGGCTTATAGTTAAGTTATTCTTTTCGAACTTAAGTCCTAAAGTCCTAGGTAGGTCCTTTAGCCTATATAAGGGGTTATTTATTATATTGAACTTATTTAATAGCTTTTCTATATAGCGGTTTTAATTTATAAATAACTTTTTAGTATTATAATTTATATTAATATTATTTCTTAAAAAGGAAAATATTAGGTTAAGATTTTCTAGTTTTATGAATTTATTTAATTAGTTTTCGATTATTTCTACTTCTTTATATGATGGGGCTATTAAAAGCATATTATTTATATAGTAGATTAAAGCGGTTTTTAATGCTTTATTTATAAATACCCCTTTATTTTAAGGTAATATAATAAATCCTATTTTATATAAATAGTTATATAGGAATTTATATTATAAACGAGGTAATTGTTTTAAACTATATAAGGCTTTATTTAAAAGCCTTACCTTATTATTAGCTTTTTCTTTATTAAAAAAGCTTTAAGGTAATTTAATATATATTTTAACGTTAATTTTAGTATAGCAGAATGCGTTTTTAATGTTATATTGTATAACTATATAGCCTTTATTTATTGCTATTATTAATAGTAAGTGTTAGGATTTTGGGCGATAGGTTGTTGAAAAGGTTTTTAGGAAATTAATACTTAGTTTTTAATTAAAGCTTTAAATATAATATCGAGCTTTAAATTTAATATTTTTATTTTTATTTAATATATATTTATCCTTTATTAAATTAGGATTATTTATTACCTTTTTTTATAAATTTAATGGTTTGGAAGTGCTTTTTTACTTTTAGGTAAATTAGTTATATTAAAGACTCCTTGATTTTGAAGTTCTTTTATTTTTGCTAAAAAAGTTAAATACTATTCCTTTTTATTATTAAATTCTATAGCTTCTTTTTAATTCCTTAGTTTAGCTATAGCTATAGTTAATATAAAATTCCTTATTTTTTTATTATCTTTTTAATTTTTAATATTATTTAATATTATTATAAAATCTAATAATAAAGTATTTTTTATATTATATAGGTTATTAATATTAACTATTATAGTATTATAGATTTTTTCCTTTTTTTTATAAGGGTTTTCGAAAATAATAGATTTATTAGCATTACTTTTATTCCTTTTTTTTCGTTTTTCCTTTTTTTAATTTATCTTTTTTATATTTTTCTTATAAAATAGGTTAAATAACTTAATATTTTTAAAATTAGTAAAATACGTATTTTTTAATATATAAATATCTTTAACCCATTTAGGTCTTTTTAATAAAATATTATATACTTTATATATATTACTTTTATATAGTTAAAATAGATATATAGCTTTATTACCTTTCGGAAATAGCTTATTCTTTTTTTTATTATTATTATAATAATATAAAGAACTAAAGGCTTTTAAATTACCTATATAAGGTATTTTTTTATTATAAGCTTTATAAGGGGTTTTTAACTTTAAGGCTATATAAGGAGTAATATTATATAAATAAATAGCTTATAATAAAGCTTCCCTTTAAAGATAAAAAGGGAGATTAATTATATATAATAGTAATTTAACTTTATTTATTAAAGTTAAGTTTATCCTTTTAATAAAACTATTATATTCCTTATTATACGGAGGGCTTTTAAGGTATTTTATTCCGTATTATTTGAAATAGATTATAAAGCGGTTATTTATAAATTTACCACCGTTATTAAAGAAAAATTCCTTTATTTTTTTACTATTATTAGTACTATTTTTTATTTATTTTTTATATTTTTTAAAAGTAAGGAATGTTAAATCCTTATTTTTTAATAGCTTAACTTTTAAATATTGAATCTTTTTATTAACGAAGGTTATATAATAGCGATATTTATTATAGGTTAACGGAAGAGGTTTATTTAAATTGCTATATATCCGTTTTAACTTTATATATTTATTTTTATTATTAGATTTCTTATAAATCTTTTTCTACATTTTAATTTAAAGGTAAGTTTTATATTTAGTTAAATAAGCTTTTTTTATAGCTTTATATAGTATTTTTATCTTTGAATTCTTTAATAAGTATGATAAAGGCTTTTTATTTATATAGCTTAAACGAATATGCTATTTATAAAACTTGTTATTAAATAAAGGAGTTTTTACCGGTTAAGTATTTATTCTTTCTTTTGGCTTTATAGGGTTATTTTAAATAATCTTATTAGTTATATTGGTAGCCTTTTTTGTTAAATTAACTATTTTAGTGAATGTATGTAATTTAATATAGAAAAGACCTTTATTTTCCTTTCCTTAAGTTAATAATTTGTTATTTCTTTTATTTATTATTTTAATTATTGGATTATTAATAATAATAATGGTATGATTAAGTTTTTTATATTTATTAGATTTATTTTTAATTGGGGAATATAATAAACCTTGTAGAATTTAAAAGATTTTTTAATATTTTAAAAATGACCTTTTAATTTACCTATTCTAATTATACATATAATTTTAGCTTTTCCCTATTTAATAGACTTATTAATTGGTTTATAATTATAAAGAATATTCTTATTATAAGTTATATAAATTATAGCAGTACTATTTATTTTAAATAGAATTATTCTATTACGAAAATTTGATTTTTTATAGGTTTTTAAGTTTTTATTTAATTTTTTATTAGTTTTTCTTTTAATTATATTAATAGATTGATTGCTAAAGCAAATATCTTTATTAATTCCTTTATTTAAGTTATTTATTTTAAGGTTATTAGTTATAGAATTTATAAAGGGTATAGGGGGGTTATTTACTTTTATATCCCTTTTTTCTTTATTTTTATAATCCGGTTTACCTATTGGGGTTTTAACTTAAGGGTTAAAGTTAATATCTTTAGTAGTTATATCTTTATTATTAAATGTATTGTTTAAGTTTATAAGGTTTTTAATTTGGTTAACTTTTTAGAATTCTTTAATTTTTTTAACTATTTATTTTATTTCTTTAATGTGGCAATTAGGGCTAATTGCTTTTATTTATATTTTTCCTATTTAAGTTTAATATTATTCTTCTTTTTTTTTATCTTCTGTTTATTTTTTTAAATTTTTAGCGCTTTATTTGGGTATAAAAAATAGCATTCCTTTTTAATATAACCTTTAAGTTTATAGTATAAATATTGTTTATTTTTATTTGCTTTTTTAACGTTTTTAGCTTTGTTTATTATATTTATAGCTTTGTTATTATAATTCTTCGATTTAAATGTATTAATTAGTATTAAGAAAAGTGTATCGAAGGTATAGGCGTTAGGGTCCTTTTATAGGTTTTAAGTGATATTATCGATTAATTTTTTATAATTACCATTTAAATAGTATAATACTTAGGATATTATTACCTTTTTAAGTAATTTAATACTCTTTTAGGTTAGGTTATTATTTAATTCTTTAACTTTATTTAAGTATACTTTTATAAAAGTGAAGTAAGATAAAAAAGTGTTAAATAGTTCTTTAAGGGTAAGGAATTTAATTGTAAAGCTTTTTAGGTTATAAAGATTTTCTAGCTTATTTTATGCTTTAATTAGGTTATTAATATTATATAAATGTATAAGAGGGGCATCTTTATATAATAGTTAAATAATATTGAATGCTTTTTCTTTTTTACGTAGGTTGGTATTGGTATCGGTAATAGTAGAGTAGCAGTTATTCTTTTTTAAGGTTGCCTTTACTTTTATTTTCCAAATAGGATAATTAATGGAGCTTATAAACTTTGCTACTTTATAAGTATTTGATTAAAATATATTTATTTTTATATAGTGTATAGTACGTTTGGATATATGGGTTTATAGGGGTAAGGGGGTGGGAAAGTGTAGCTTTTTTGTGGAAAAAGTGAAAGTTTTGCGATTTCGATCGAAAACGTTTTAGTTATAGCTTAAGTATGGCTTAATTGATTCGATTGTGGCTTAGTTGATTCAATAGGGGTTGCGAAAGGTAGCTTAAGGGTTTTGAAAGGGTGGTTCGAAAGGGTTAAAAGGGGTTTTTATTTCCGGTAAATATATATGTAATTATACCGGACTTATAACCTTTCGGAGGCTATTTGGGTTAGCTTAGGTAATTGTATATATATCTTAATAAGCAGTTTAGAAGATAACTAATAAGTGGGGTAAATGGATAAATCATTTAGTTATCCAGTATAGAAGGAGAGTTATATAAATAGGAATATAGAATACGGTTTTCCTAACCGTGGGGATAACCCGTTGTATATAGACCTAGCCGCTGCCTTAAAGGTGCCTTGAAGGGTGCCCTGAAGGGTTCCCTATCGAACCCATTGGAAGGTTCGAACCTATGACTCATACCCAGATGACTAATACCCTGCAGGTGAATTACCTAATTAGGTATTAGGTAAACAACCTGACTGACAGATATTACTAGGTACCTAGATAACCTATATCCAGTTTGAGGCAGCGTTCAGCCTGAAGTTGGAAACGAGGAGCGAAAAGAGGGAGAGGGGCGAGAAGGGAGAAGGGAGGGAGGTGGGAGGGCAGAGCCTCATGGGGGTCACATCAAGCAAACACTGCTAAGGTATGCAGCCTTGGTATGCAGTATTGAGTTGGCCTGCTCCGTTCCTACTTGAACCGGAACAATAGTAGCATATGTAAGTTATTGCGGTATAGAGCCCCTGGCCACAACTTAGCGGTTGTTCCAGCAGAATCGTCCGCCATCCCCTCCCAAACTTCCGACATGAGCTATACAGTGTGGTAAGTTCCAAGTAGATAGCAGTAAATCCCACGGCGCTCATAGTGTGCATCACTTTATTCACCAGCCCATGTGTTGTAAGTGGTGCTGAAACCGATACTATTTCTAGTTTAGTTATCATCAATGAACCCGGAGGTCAGCCAGATAAATCGCAGTCTTTGGAATCTATTGCCCAACATTTCCATTGTCGACATGCTGTTGAATACGACCTCATCCCTGCGGGGTACAGTTCCTTAGGGGAAGAGGGCTTTGGCAACGAGCGGAGAATATCCTACAAGACTTGATTATTCGGGACGGCTAGTCGGGACTAGTAAGTTCTTGTGCCCAATGACCTCGGGAGAAGGGCTCCGACACCGAACTTTCCAGCGCGTTGACCTTTCTGTTATAGGGCAAAAGCATATCGAACGATTACGAGATATTGGTCTTCAAATGCTATGGTGTCGGTGGTCTCCTTCTTTGGCAGGTATACAGCCATGGCTCAAACTCGCTGCTACCCCATGCCATTTTGACACAAAATTAGATTATTCTGTTATCGGCATCTAGTTCTCGGTATATGGCGCTTTCACAATCTACGCACCTTCTTGTCTGTTTTGCAACACCCCAAAGGAATGGTTTCCTCCCTGAAGTTGAGTGAGATTGATCCGTTTAATCTATTACTTGCATTCCAATCGACTCTACCTAGCCTCGAGAATGGTGTTAATACCATGCTCAAGAAACAATATGATATCGTTAACTTTATCGAGGTGGACTCGAGATGGTACCGCGCCACTATCGTAAGTTACTTGTATTGCCCCTGTCGCATCTGGATAATCTGTATTGACAATTGATCGCGTCCAAAGATGGCCAATGAGTACTGCTCAACCATGGGTATACCTGGAGAGGAGAATGTCCAGATTATCTGTGACCATGCTGAATCATGGGCAAATGCTTTAAGTGGGCAAAAAGTTGCTGATGTCATCATCAAGAAAGTAGAACGTGCGGTCGAAGCTGAGCGGAATGGTTAGTCGAGGGTTTATCTATCGAGTCCTCATCTCTACCCTATTCAGGGGCCAAAACATGGCGACATTCGCGAACAAACTAGCCAATACTCAACACAGTCAACTTAAGAAGCCAGTACCACGACTTCCTCGAACGACTCAGCGGGTACGCAATTGCTAGCTCACCGCCCCTATTACCTTGGACTAGGCCGCTAGTACCTGGCTCGGTAGATTGGGTCAAGACGACAGAAAGCTTTGCCAACTAGACTAGTGCCTCCGGCCCCTCGGTGCTGCACATCATGGGCCAGCCAGGCTCTGGAACCACCATTTTGTCCGAGCACATTATCGAGCTCCTGAGATCCAATAACAATGCTAACCCCATATTAGCCTCTTTCACGGTGGCAGGTGTTTCTAGTGCATCTGGGCTCTCACACACCATAGAGATGCTTGTGACTCTATCCCGGCAGTTTCTCTTGCTCAAGCCAGAAGCGTTCCGGGGCTGCTCACTCCTCTGTTCGTGGAAATGAGAATCCCAAGAATCATCATCACAGAGACTATTCCGTGGTCACTGCTTCACTGCATCGTCTCTGCAATTCGCGATCCAATTTGCATCTGCATCGAACACATTGATCTTCTCAGTCAGACTCCAGGGTGGGGGGATGCGCTCGTAAAGCTATCTCATATTGGCCATAGGGTCAACTTCTGCAAAATTTAGTGACACCCACTTCATCCTTAACTTCTACGATTCCTGACAACTGTGGAGAAACCACTCAGCAACGTTCCAGTGAAGCGTGGGCGGACGCGTGCAGAAGATGTACGGACTATGGCAACTCACAACTAGGTCGGACATTTTACGATGCCTCTTACTTTATCATTTCACTTGAGGGTCATCAGGCTCTGTTTTCGCACATCGAAAAGGGGGTGCGAGATCAACTACGTCGATGGACGCAGGGGAAAATGGTGTGGACGTAAATTTCGGCGAGAACCCCAAAGTCAAGTTCAAATACGACCTGCCGAGCAGTTTTACATCTAGCGGTTCGAGCAACACGCCACCGAAGCTGGAATCATCATCGGGTCGGGACGAAATATCGACACGTAGGAAAAGGAAGCTAAAGCGTACGGGCTCTATGCCGTCCCAAAGATGAGGTGGAGCTCGCCCGAATAGATATGAATGAATACGGATCGATGGTTGATACTAGTATCGAGTTGGTAGAATTATTTGTGATCGGGTAGGCATGGGATTCGGATTCATAAAATGCCAGTGAAGTAACAGCGTATTATGGAGTATATTGTTTTTAAGCAATGTCTGCTCCGCCCTTAAAGCGTTATGTAGGTAATTTATATAGTTATTGGATTGTTGGCTTATAGTAGATCTATTGGCTTTGCCTCTGATCTCTCCTCAGTTCAGCTAATCTACACAACCCCCTTAAGCCCAGCCTTTGTTGTGGTTTTTGCCGTTAGGATAGTGACCGTTCCTATGAGACAAGCCACAGCACTGAAAATGGCTAACTGATCGAATCTCCCGTACCTGGCGAGAAACGCACCATTGACTGGAGGACCGATGAGACTAGCCAGAGCTCCGATAGCCGAGCCCTGGCCGATATAAGTACCAGTATTTGAGGGGTTGCTGGCAGCAGAGGCAAGGCTAGTTGAAAAGCAAGACGAAGTGCCCCCTGAGAAGAAGCCATAGAATACTGTAAAGGTTATAATGGCGCCTTTAGTGGTAGCATGTGTCCAAACAAATAACAGTATGGATGAGATAACAGCAGCGGTAGCGAATATGTTCAGTCGACCAGCTCGGTCTGATAGGGTCCCCAGTATGAGACGACCGAAGAATGATGATCCATTCAGGATTGCTACAAGGTAGTTTGAGAATAGGGGATCTACCCCACGACTGAGGGCGTATTCTGGGAGGAAGAAGTATGGGGTGAATATACCCAAATTAATAACAAACCCGGAAGCAATAACAAGTGCATACGTGACCTCTGTGAGCGCTCTCGGGAGGAAGAACTTGTTTTTCCGAGGAGGTAAGCGCTCCTTGATTGCTATGCATGAGAGTGCGAGGAGGGCTAGAATGATAAACCCAATGATCCGTACTGCCCATCCAAAGCCCAACTTCGAGATATCGAATAAGCGTGGTAAAGCCAGCGGGAAGATCACACCACCAACTGAAGAACCGGCGACGACTAAACCCATAGCGGCGCCACGTTTTCGGAAGAAGTATTGCGGCGCTGCGGCGAAGGCGGGGTTGAGAACCATACCGCTGGAAACCCCTCCGAGGATGCCTTGTGCCAGAATAAAATGCCAGTATTGTGATGAGATGCTGGTTAACATGACAGATGCCACGTAAATAATACAGGCAGGAAACAGTATCTGTTAGATGTAAGTCCATTTGAACACACGACACGACTCTCCCAGGGGACATATCTCACATACCTTGGCGCCATGACGGTCAAACAAAGGTCCAGCTACCAACCCGGCGGAAAAAATGAAGAAAAATTGTAATGATCCGATCCAAGCGATAGTAGACGGGCTCTCGTCACTGAGTTGATGTTGGATATAATACGTCTGGAACACCCTACGCATCATTAGCGGATAATTGTTTCTGCTGCCCGTATAGCTCAGTGCGGGGTCTAGACGAGACAGTAAGCATACCCAAAAGAGGTGACATAACCTAAAGTGCAAAACGAGACGAGAGATGCACCGGATGCCACCCCCCATGCTCGCGCGCCACCTTCGGGAAAATCGTGTTGCCCAGTTGGTTGCGGGGTTGGGTCAGCAGGCTGATCATCCTTCTCGGGAACCGAGACAGGTGCCGAGGAATCACTAGGGTCCATGGCGTTAAGCTTCGTCGATGGCAATCGATCAAGACACCTAGCGAGAATAAAAACGGGTTGTTGATTGGCCAGATGTGTAAAAAGTAGGCTGAGAGTCGAAAAACCGTTGCTGGAGGGTAGGGAGAAAATTTTATAAATGCGCTCACAGGGGTCCTGTGCATCCTAATTGTGAGACGGGTGTTCAAAACATCCGTCCGAAAACCTTGATTTGCGAAAATGGAGGCAAACAGCGCGACTGGATTGATCGGAGGTGGTATTCGCCTATAGGACCTCGCATTTGACGAATACCACTGGATATAGTCGTCTTGAGCGGTGCCGAAGACTGGAGTACCATAGAGTAGCATCCAATACAAGCAATCTCTGGCGCCGGTACTACCCCGGAAGGACTCAAAGCCAATAGCTCCAATCTCCCTCTTCTCTAGGCAGCAGTTGCTTCCTACTATAACTTAAGGATTCGCGATTAGGCGAACGACTCATCACCTCCAGTTCATACAATATCTATAACCACGGCACGAAAGCAATTCATAGCTAGCCCATTTTTGTTTTTTACTTATCACTGACTGGCTGAGCAAGCTAATGATTGGAAGATGCCAAAGCGGTTGAACTAATATACCCCGCCCGCCCTCGTCGTGTATTTCTATAACCGATTGTCATGCGTTGCATAGGTCTAATAACAACAGTCACAGTTAGGCAAGTTATGCAAGGTCAGGCTTATACTTGGGTTAGGTAGTAGATGGTCTGTCTGTTTGTCGCCCTGTCAGGCATATCCGACGGAAGCGATCTTCGCTGTGTGTGGTGGTATTTTCATCCCACCTAGTCTCCTGTCAAACCTGTGTACGAAGTAGGTATATTATTTAGTGATTACATCTTTACACGTAGCGTGCTTTTCAAGTTACACAAACTGCACAGAAATCAGTCCACGAAATTACGGATGTGTCGGTTGCCCCGGCTGACATCCAGTATGTTGCAGCGATGCGCTAGATATGCGAATTCGTACTCTTGTAGTGAAGAGTTACAGGATTACCGAGTGCAAAGCCATTTCATTCAAATACAATAGTTCCCCTTCCTTTCTATCAGATCTTAAAATGGGTTGTTTCCCTACCAGGTCATTGCATTCCACTCATGCTAGGTACCTGCTATTACCCAACGGGTACATCAATACATCTTACACGTCCATCATCTTTTCGCGGATGAGCTGATCCAACTCGCTAGAATTTGCGACACAGTGTGTTTTGCGTACCACTACCACTACCACTGCAACGTTAGCTAAGACAATTCGTTATTGGCTCGCTTCCTCATTGATCTGCGTCTACGAAGTACGTAAAGAATACGATCAGTGTAGAAAACCAAAACGCACTGTCAAACGAGGAGGAGCTAGGTAAGATTAAGGACTCTAGAGACACTGATCCTGTCAAAATATGCTTAACAATCAACGACTGTCGAAAATCCTTGAATCCTCGACGACGACGACGAGGAGCGATTCCGAGAGTATTCGAAAGTAATTCTGTGCCGAAGCCTTTTATTCCAATGTTTAGAGTATGAGCTACTAGAAGGTGAATGATAGGTACCATACACTTTCCAGGGGGACAACCACAGTGCTCAATAAGCTGAGTCAGACTCGAGCGCTACGGCGAGCTATGCCGTCGAGTCCTTGCGTGGCCTGTGATTCTTCGCCTACGTATATTCGTTGAAGATGATTTCGTGTCACGTTGCGTTTGCAGTACCGCATACACGTACCGGTATGTGCAGCACCTGGCTTCATCTGCTGATGCTCAGGGGCAGTATAACGTACGCAGTCGACTGCTATGCTGGCCACCAGTCATATGGTCCGTTCGGACCCCTTGTTTACAGTGGTAACTAGCTAGCCTCGACTCTATATGCGTTATGATCTGACATCCTAACCTCCGAGGACCGTCATTATAGCTCATATAAGAGAGGTTGGGATAGCTTCACATTTAAGTGGAATTGTATGCAGTGTTCCTACTGAGCGCATACGTAAGTGACGCGTGTAAGGTGATCCCATTTTATCCTCAAGCCATAGAACAGGTCAGGACGAAATCAAACTCAAAGAATGATCGCTATAATTACACTAAATGCTAGAATGCGCTGTATACCTCAGTATGTCCGACGGATCCGTCACCTCCAATTTCGACGCTCTGAGATCATCACCACGCATAGTGACAGCATCTAGACTCATGTAGATGAAGACACGATAGTCTCCTTCATAACTGCGATCCCTTTATCACCCGCCGCTTGCACCAGGCCCGTGTCTGATCGATTTCCATCGTGTGCAATGGCATGCGCTTCGTGTTCCCCCGTGTTACCGAGTTCGATGGCCCTCTGATCCTGCTCCTCTGCGATCCGGTCGAACCCGGAATTTGTCGACCATAGCAAGTAACGCTTGCTCGACTTGGCACCAGTGGACTTCGAACCAATAGTAACCATGCCCGATTCCGACGAGTAGTCAGGGGATTTGGTTTTCCGAGATTTGCTACTGCTGCTGAAAAGGTCCAGGATTGGTTTCAAGTGCGGACTGCAAGCAACCATCATGCCAACTCCGGGCTGTATGATCGTTAAATACAGGGTTGTTATTATTGAATAGCTCAGGTCGTCATAGTCGACAGCGTACACTTCCCAGACCCTGATAGCTGTCACAGCCACCGTGCTAGAACTGGGTTAGCTGCAGCTTATAACTCGATTATCATTGGTGAATAAAGTTTATAGACTCACAGGAAGGCGCCACTGAATATTAACGCAAGATAGATCTTCTGGGTCCTGCCGATTTGTAGATGGTATAACGGTCTGACTGGGAGCAGCAGAAGATATATATCAGTCACGATATCTACGGCTGAAACCGAGGTAAACGCCGCCTTCTCGTCGCCACAGTGTCCTCGAGCCTTTGGATCCCAGTTCAGCGATACCGGTTGACATATCAAAGCGCCGATGAAAATGGTTTGTAAGACCCAGGCAACAGTTAGGCCCATCGCAACATAAGCTGCGATTCTGAAGCTGCGGGTGAGAAAGATCCGTTGAAAGGTTCTTGCGATACTGAGTTTAATAAAGCCTAGTGAGACAGCATACAATAACTGCGCAATGAAGGTTGTTTTGGAGAATATCTCGATCTGGAATGGCTGCAACTGTTCGATATGGTAGCCAAGACCGCCGCGAACGGCCACTGCGATCAACAGTCAGCCAAAGATCAAGAAAAGGCTTACGCGCTGGGATGATTTACTGTAAATGCTATTAACGGTGTAGCCAAAGTGCGCTAGCTATAGGAGATTGTTAAATGCTGATGACTTGACTTGCTCGCTGAGGATGGTGGAAGACAAACCAGAGCGATATAGGCGAAAATATCTTCCAATAGGAAAGGTGTGAGCCTTCGTAAGTAACGCGCCCAAATGCGAAACCCAATCCACAGCAATGCCAGAAAGAACGACACCGCAGTTGTCGCGATGATAGACCGCGCGCTGTAAGTCAACGGCGGTATCTCGGCCGTGACCATGGGCCGTGAAGAATCCATTTTGAATAGAGACAAGCTGTGAATGTCTGTGGCTGAAAAGACAAGGTCCCTTGGGGCAAATTTAGCGTGAGACTGGTCTATATATGCTTTGCTCAATGTCGTCTGAACTTTTCGTAATACAAGTAAGCAGCCATCACTCTTCCTCATTCGCTCGCGGGTTCAAGGGGGCGGGTAATATTCGGTTTTGTATTATGCAATCAATGCTACTCTGACTCTGACGGTCTGCTTCTATTCGATCATTTCTCAGCGCGTCTTGCTATAGTAGTACCTTCTGACTGAATTTCATTTGCCATATGAGATGCTCAGCGAGCACAGCAGTGTGAGTGTCACAACATAAGTAGGATCATGCGTAAACAGCTGAAGGAGATGCCTGCAGATTCGCTGGTGTCTCCAATTCACCTCCGTCTTTTCTGTCCAGTCATACTCACTGGTACGTAAAGGATTCCGAGACGAACTATCTGCGATAGGAAGGAGTACCGGTAGTTGTTAGATTTCTTCTACCTATCGTAGTCCTCGTCTCAGATAACGCCTTCAGCCCCTACAGCCCCTACCACCACCGCCGCCACCCCAGATGCTAGGACTGTTATTGCAATCACGTCGCATTTCACGCCTTTAACGAAAACCTTCGTAATGTCCGCGAGATATCGTCGGTAGCCTTGATCATAATACTGTCAAGCTATCATAGCCTCATGTAGAGAATGGTTTCCAATTAAACCCGATCGCATTTAAACCCGAATTTCATAACAGAAGGCACACCATAGTCACAAAGGTCCTACAAATAAAAACGTCGTACCTATTGCTGCAAGATTTAGAGGTATTAACATTACTCTTGACCTTGAACTTCAACCTGTCATTGACAAGTTAGCTTTCAGCTTAGCGCTTAGGCGTTCACTTCTTGTTTATCATAGGTATTCCAGACCCCCCCGATCCGCTATGGTATGGAATTAGGTACACGTGCTGCTCAGCTATGCGACGGACGTACATGACCACTCTCCCCATACACGTTTCGGTTCCGAAATGTTGTTACAATCGACAACTTGATTAGAATCAAAGCACACTATACTTCGTACACAGATTGACAGTAAGTCGTACATAACAGAAATTAGGATCACGCAATCCCAAAACTTCAACAAGGGATGAAATCCGCGCCGAAGCATGCGCGAAGCAAGCAGGTAAGCAATTGAAGCAAGCAACGTGATAGCGGCACAGCATATCTTGGTTACCACGATAACACGCTACCTACCGGTAGTCTCTCGTCTACCTATTTACGTACCTACCGATACCCCCCGCGCACTCTTTCCCCTCCCTCGCACGTGGTAGCGTCTCCGAATCCTTCATGCAACAAGTGGCGAATAGCCGGACATTTGACTCCAAATGGACTGCAGCCACTATCACACAGGGGTTTCCAGCTAATAGTAGCACCCAGCTTACCTATTCGTCCAGTTCTCCAAACGCATGTTAGGCGCAATAACAGGGGGTGAAAACCGGTAACAACCTACCTATCACGGTAGCAGATCCGTCTCCGCGCCGGATGAGGGAAAATATTCAGATCCATACCTATTTTAAACAATGTAGATAGGTACCTACTCACTCTTTCTCATCTACCTACTCAGATAATCTGTACAAGAGCATCAGCATACCAATACCTTGAAACTCACCAGCCGGATGCTCGTCCACCAATAGCATACGGGGTAATCAGAATACAGAAGTAGGGCACGATACGATATCCGGGCTTTCGGATCGGACCATTCTCAGCTTCCGTATCAGCTGACCCAGTACGATCAATCAGTGATCACGTAACTGTAGTGTAAGTACACAGGGTTGCATTCGAAGTAAGGCTCAGCTACTCTAAGTATGTCAGCAATATTTGCTTTTGGAATCTACGCCGCGGCGGCACGATCGTTCCGTTATCAACTTTCTTGGTAATACGTATATAATGTAATGGTGTTTAAATGCCACGTGCTTTCGGGTCGTCATTTGGGGTTGCACGTTAACCAACTACCTCCCTACCTGCCTAGGTATGTAGGATACCCAGACATATAACGACATCTAGTACCTAGACTAGCTCCGCTATAGTTACAGTGCATCTAGTGATAATGAGTGGTATATCTATAGTTGGTCATTAGGTAGTAGTGAAACTGGCTAATTCCGAAAGTCTTATGTCTGCATCTCTCGTATGGCCTATCGCCGTTGCCAGGGGTTGTGCCGTACGGACACCGAGAAATCTTGTCGATTGGAGCCCCCCCCATTCTATTTTTATCCAGATCAGTAGATAGCTAGGTGGTCAAGCTAACAGCCGCAGCTGCAGGTAATGCAATGCCACGTGAGTCTTAGATAATGATCGGAGGCGTCTTTGTCGCGGCTCTAGCTTCATTATCATCATGGGTAGCTCTCTAGTCCCGAACTGACATTGTACATCAGGCCGATATTCATAGATGCAATACAAACAGCAGTTCTGTAAAGCATTTGGCAGATCTTATGGCGATGCCTTTCAAATAATAATTGGCCCTTGACTTCTTCTTATTGATATCGCGGCGCTCAACCCCGTCTTTAGTAGGTATGCCGGGGCCGCAATGGCCAGGATTTTGGAGCCCTGTAAAACCGATTGCACAGGTTCATTTTTGGCGACAAAGCCGAACCCCCTCATCTCTCCCCTGTCTCGATCGCTACGCTATTGCGCCTCTGGAAGCACCAATACCGTGCCATCTCCAGCCCGCGAACGTGGATCTGACCAGTTTCGTCATACCCGACGCACCATCTTCCACGTTTTCATGCGATCGGGTAGCCGAACAGTAAGCAAACCACGTGGGAATGGGTTCGCCGGGGTATAATCTCAGCTTGTAGTGTCGTATAAGTTATGGTCTTCGCAGTCGCATGTAACTTGCCTGTCTCGAGAGCTGTTTTTTCTCTTGCCGTTTCTTTCCTCTTTGCGTGACGAGCGCATGGTCTCTGCCATCATCCTGCATGCCAAGAGACACGTCTCTGCTACCTTTCCATCCGCCTCACCTTTCCGCATGCTAAGGCGGAAGATCAGTCAACAAACGCCTTCCACGTCGACGAATAGCCTGCCGCAGAGAGGGTACCTCATCTTGAAGTCCTTGGACCAAGGTTTAGGAAACTCATGAAATCGGCCGGCTGAAGCATCCTCCTTAGAGCCTTAGAGGCCTATACTATTAGATTAGGTCCGTTTTGTACCCCTCCACTTGTAGATCGTTGCATAACGTAGGGTAGCACAATGGCTTTATCCCCATTGCTGCTCACGTCGTGGGACTACATCTTCGTGGGTGGCGGGCTTTCGGCGTCAGTCGTCGCACATAGATTGAACGAGCGAGACCAGCAACTCAAGATCCTCGTTGTCGAAGCCGGACCAGATGCAAATAACGCTGCCGACATTGTTTATCCCAACTCGACTAACCTCATCGGTGGTGAGTATGACTGGAAGTACATCACCATCAATCAAACGAACTTGGATGACCGGACTGTAAACTATCCCGCCGGTAAAGCTCTAGGTGGAGGCACAGTTATCAATCGAAGTAGGTGCGACAATACAAGTGACCTTGTGTGAAGAGCCAAGAGACTGACGTGCTGAATGAATCTACCTAGGCGGGTGGGTGAGGGGTGACAAATTTGATTTGGACCAGTGGGGCGAGTTGGTGGGTGACACTCGATGGAGCTACGACGGTATGCTTCCGTACATAAGAAAGACGGAAAAGTTCTGGAGTGACACTATCAACACCGAGCAGCATGGCCTTACGGGGTTAGCTTCCATCCAATCCGAGACGTCTACGAATCGAAAGTATCCCATGCGCGAGTATGTCCGTCGTTCGTGGAACGATCTAGGGATAGAGGCTCGCCCTGGGCTCGATAGCAACGCAGGAGACCCATTGGGCATGGGAGAGGTCCAGGAGAACCGAGTGAACGGCCGTAGAGAGATTGCGGCAGCTATTTACTCGCTCCATAATGTCACCGTTCTTACCGAAACTCTCGTCGAGAAGGTTCTGTTCAAGAAGACACGCGACGGACTCTCCGCCATTGGTATCAAGCTTCGGAATGGAACCGAGATCCACGGCCAAGAAGTGATCCTCTCAGCCGGTGCGATCCGTTCCCCGCAGATACTCATGCTCTCTGGCGTTGGACCCGCTGACGAGCTGGAGAAGTTTAACATACCGGTTCTGCTAGACCAGCCCGCAGTCGGCGCGAATCTTGCGGACCATGGACTTTTCGCACACTCGTGGAAGCTCAAGGACCCGTCTGCTGGCTGGTGTCCAGGCTCAGGTACGGAATCACCCCGCACCACCTCACCTCACCCCACCTCGCCTCAACCTCACCCCACTTCCATGCCACCCCCCCCCCCCCCTTATCTTACCCCGCATCGACTACCTAGGTACCTACCACAAGTAGCATCCACTCCGAGATTACCTCCTGTAGGCTACTCTAATGCTTCGCAGGAAATCCCCTTTTCCAACAACCACAGTATGGATGGGGCACTGCAGCCGACTTTATCGTTTCGACCGATGTGCCCAAGGATGGTCTTGCAGCTGCCATCGCTGCAGATGAAGGCGTCGATCCCGACCCTGCCACTCACCCGCTGCTTCGCCGCCGCACTTTTGCTGAGCATCTGTTCATGTATGGCGGTTCGGCCAACGGCTCGGTTGTTTCGTGGGGACTGATCAGCCTGCTGGCCACGTCGCGTGGATCTGTCAAACTATCGTCAGCAAGTATCCAAGACCCCCCTCTCATCGATCCTAACTTCCTCGGCACTGCAGTCGATCGCTACGTTGCTCGCGAATCTCTGAAGCTCCAGATTCAGTTCGCAGGAAGCAATAAGACTGTCGTGGGCAGAGACATTATTGCTAGAGAGGTTGGCGCCCCGGGGTTTAGTAAAGTATTGTCAGTAGACTCGACCGACGCTGAAATCGACGCTCGTCTTCGGGCTGGAATGGGGTGCGTCTTTGATCTCACTGCTCTGCATACACTATGTATATCATGACAGCTAACATTGAACACGCGACAGAACTAGCTACCACCCGATGGGATCCCTTGCCATGGGTAGCGTAGTTGACACGGATCTCAAGGTGCGAGGCATCCAGCACCTGCGTGTTGTTGATACATCAGTGTTCCCGGTCGTCCCCACCGGCCACTTGCAAGTAACAACGTATGCCATGGCTGAACAAGCGGCGGTGATCATCTACGAAGGCCGTTCAACACCGAATAAAACCGTCTGCCAGCCGACTTGAGTGTGTGTTTGACTTGCTACACCTGACTCTATTGGTACCTGAGTCTGGCACGGGGAAAGACGCTGGTTTGCAAGGGAGCTTGTTAGCTTAATTTTCATGTTCAATAGTAGGGTGAATTATCAATTACTCATCAACTGCTTCTCATTTGTATGTTAATATTTCCAATCGTAAGTGACGAAATCAAGCTCGTAGAAGTACGTTAATGCTGGATCAGGCAGAACGGTAGCAAGGTCCGATAGGGATAATAATCCGGAGGAAGGATTCAAGATACTAGTCTCGTTATTGCGGAAATAGTGGGATGCTATCCGCAAAGCCCACAGCGGAACCCTTATAGGTACCTAGTCGTAGTGGCAGAGGGTTCAGTCTGGGATCAGAATCCCCCACGGCTTGGCATGAAGCCTGCACGGGACTTCTACGGGCAGCGCACGGGCACAGCGCAAGGCTTGAATGTCGTGAAAAGCTCTCATAGACCCTTACTGAGTGAGTGGTGCTTGAGGTTCGCGCTGACGTGTTTCTTGCACGTTGTCGTACTACCTAGTCTGTACCTAGGTCGCTCTGTCAGCCGGCTTGGTAGATCTGACAGCCTGCTTGAAATATTGAAATACTAGGTATGTAGGCCAGGTCACCGGTCTCGTAATCTGTACTACGTAGGTACCTAGGTAGGAATACCACGGCGTTCCCTTCGGCTCTGTTTTGGTCTTGTCATGCGTCATGAGTAGTTTCCGGCGAAACGTCACGATAATACGTCGTCTTGAATATCAAACTGTGAGGTCGCAATTGCTATCTTCGCAGTTTTGCTCTCTTGCTACCTACCTAGGTACTTACCTACTCAAATACCTAATGCCTTTTTCATTGGAAAATGGCAGTAGCAGCTTAACTTGTGAGTAGATCACGCTTTCCGACCTACTCAAGAGCCGAATCCAACAACTAAATGTGGTTAGACGAACCCTAAAACAGAGCTAAAATCTAGGGAGCTAATCGCGGGCATAGTGACCCCACCAGGTGGTCCTGCCCGCTAGCGCTGTCGTGATCCATCTCCCGTTGCAGTTAGCCTAGTTCCGGCATTTCTTGCTAGTTTGCATTGGCGCGTCTTAGGGCAAAAGCTTCTATCAACTACCTGCCTAAGCTCCTCTGCAATTCTCAGTTAGGTACCTACATGTACATATTAGGTCGGCTCTTGTCTGCTCTTGGGACGCGAGTGCCTCATGCAAGAGTAAGTCGGTCGCTAGCTCCTTCCACCCAGCAATTACTAGCTACCTACCTGTACCAATGCCTTCAGGCTCCAAGTTGCGTTGGGAGAGGTAGGCAAGATGCATCGCAGCAGGCACTTCACTGGACGGCCTCAATATTGAAGCTACCTATTACATACGAAGTAATAGGTAGACCACAAGAGACATCCTGCTTTCGACTCGTGTGACGCGTAGGGAACTTCCATTGGAAGTTTGCTCACCCAATTACCTTTCAATTGCTACCTGGGGGCGATACATCTTACCCCTCCGCCTTCTGCTTGAGCATGTAGGCACCGAAGCATCCGACGCGTTCTTAACGCAGAACCCGACTCTGTCCCCGCCATCAGTCGTTCGATCGCTTTGGCTCTGTTCAAACTTCATGTCCTCGGCATTCTCTCTCACACAGCTTTCTGCTGGTCTACCATCTTCTCTTCGATCGTTTCCGGCAGACTCAAAACCGTTGCTCTTCTCACCCCAGTGTCGAATCCCAACCAACCATCAACCAGCTAGTTATTCTTGCACTTCGAAAACATGACGGCATCCAAGCCTTGGGACTACGTAATCGTCGGTGGCGGCATCGCTGGCTGTGTAGTCGCCAACCGTTTGAAGCGCTACCAGCCCGAGTCTCGCATTCTCTTGATTGAAGCCGGTCCCGACGTCAGTAGTAATAAAGACATTCTTCACTTCAGCTCCCTCAAGTTTGTCGGTGGCCAGTTTGACTGGGGTTATAAAACCACACCCCAGAACAACCTCGATGGGCGAGAGATCGATATTCCATCAGGCCGAGCCCTTGGTGGTGGCTCTGTTATCAATGCTTGTAAGTCAACTGTGACATGTTGATGATTCGTCTGTTTAATCTCTACCAGGCGGATGGCTTCGTGGCGCCAAAGCCGACTACGACACGTGGGCCGAGATAGTCAACGACAAGCGCTGGGGCTACGAAGGGCAACTACCCTACTTCAAGATGACCGAGCGATGGTTCAACGACAACCCTGATGCCCTCGACGCCCATGGACGGGAAGGTGCTCTGCAGATCGAGTCACCGAGCTACCACAACCGCATATACCCCTTGACCAAGACAACCCAGAAGGCATGGGCCGATATAGGTGTAGATACACTCCCTAGAGCAGACATGAACGCTGGTACCAACTTGGGACTTGGCGAGCTTAATGAGAACCGGTCTAAAGGCGCTCGACAGATTGCACCCTCGGTGGTAAGCATTGCCGACATTCTATTTTCAAGGAATAGCAACTGCGGATCTGACATGTTCTAGTACCCCCTCGACGGAATCACAGTACAGACCGACACGCTCGTACAATCTATCATTCTTGATGGGTCTCGTGCAACTGGTATCCGACTTACAGATGGAACAGAAGTCCAATCGCAAGAGGTCATCGTTGCTACTGGCGCTTATCGAACCCCTCAGCTGCTTATGTTGTCTGGAATTGGGCCCAGAGAAACCCTCGAGAAACACGGTATCGAGGTGAAGGTCGAAAACTCTGAGGTTGGAAAGAACTTCAACGACCATGTGAAGGTGCACTTGAACTGGAAGTTGAAAGACCCATCCAAAGGCTTCGCCATCGGCTCTGGTAACCCTATTTTCACTCAGCCAGAGTTCACGACAGGCGTTCCCCTCACCTATGTCGCCGGAACCACTATACCTAGAGATGTTCTAGAGGCAGCCATCGCTAAAGATGAGGGTGAAACCGCCGTTTCTCCGGAACATGATCTTCTCAAGAGAGACTGGTCACTGATGGAGACCCTTGTGATGTATCTCGGATCACCTCCTGTGGGAGTTGACGGCGCTCATATTAGCAGTGCTCTAATGGCGCTGAAACCCACGTCACGAGGGACTGTAACTATTACTTCCAACGATCCTAAGGATCCTCCGCTCCTAGATCCGAACTACTTCTCAACCGAGGTCGACAAGGCCGTTTGGCGTCACTCATTGCGAAAAGTCACCGAACTGATGTCTGGTAATACAGCACTGGGTGAAGTCGTCGAGGGTGAAACGCCATACCCCGGCTTCGAGCCGATCGGACCTGACTCAACTGACGAATACCTCGACAAAAGAGTCAAGGCACATGCAGGGTTGGTCCCTTTTATGAAGACATTGAGAAGAATAACATCACTGACATGTTGCATTAGTTCTACATTCCACGGTTCCAGCTCCTGCTCAATGGGCAAGGTGGTTGACGAGGAATTACGTGTGAAAGGGGTACCGGGTCTCCGGATTGTTGATGCCTCAGTCTTCCCTATCTCAATTGGCGCTCATATCCAGGCAGCCGTATATGCACTCGCTGAGCAAGCAGCTGTCATCATCTCCGGGAAGACTAGCTAGACAGGATAGCTTTGAAATATTCACAGCAAGTGGGTCACCGCTCACTGTTCTCGGCCAGACTATCATGGGGTTTATTGAAAGTCGACTCGCTCTCCTCCATGCTCTAACAGCAATCTTTCGGTTCTTGACCTCCACGTACCTGTTTGCTCAAAATCCTTGTTATAAATCATGACTTGCAGTAAAACTCACTCATTTACACTAGATTCTCATATTGGGCAGATCTGTGATACATTGACCAGTTCAAATGTTGACTCGGGTGTAACTACAAGTAATGTTACGTCCTCTGGTAACCTGTTTCGTTCTAGTATATAATTAGATTATCATAGCTTTGATACAACAAATGTCGCATAGTACCCCCCATAGTTGCAGCTCCCACATGAAAAACACATACAGGCGTGCGGGTGACAAGATGCAAATGTCATTTCTCTAGTAAATGAAACAGTGCAGCGTGTGTTGCAATAACGACCTTGATGTTGCATACAAGGATCCTTGGTTGCCTGCCGCCGCCCTACATCATTATCTACGTTGACACTCGGCAGGCTGCGGTGCAACTTATTTGAAGCAAGTAATACGCTGTCAGACATAAGAAATTGTGAATACGACCCTATGCGTGAGAAAAAGACGACCCCTTAGCGACCCCGACATCAAATCCTACGTCTGTCTACCCAATAAAAGATGAAAACAGTTCTAGTAGTGGCGCACATGATAATGCCTATAGGATCAATAGATTATTTCTTGAGATGACCTGCAGTACGTAGCCTTGAAAGGAGGGGTCGTCCGAAGTCTTTGGCCTGAGACTTTGCTCTCTCACGCATACCTAACCTGGGCTTACGTCACGGCCGTCCAGGTGGTAGGCATGGAAGAAAGGCTAGAGGATTTCTGCAAGCTACCATCCATCCGGAAGTCATAGAAAATGAATCTTGACGAGAGAAATACTAACCCTCGCTTATGCCAACCATCATTACCTAGCTTGACCTCTGGGGTAGTTGGTTGGAGTAGATACTGGGACGGGTTAACTTTCTGCGATGATGACTCCGAGCTGTTATCGGCTGCATGCATAGTACTAAGTTTAAGCACCCCTCACTCATGCAGGGCACTTCGCAGCCACAACAGAGACGACTCAACTGACCAGTCGATGAGCACCGACAAGTCCGCTGTCGTATTCTTACCTTCTTCTCTGGTTGGCTGGTGTGTGTGGTCATCTTGGCGAGATGCTCCAACGGGCGGTGTGGCTAACATTCCCCAGGGCTTTGTACGCGAGCCATGCAATCAGTGTTGAGGCTGGGCTCGGCTCTCGAGCTCCTGGCAGGCAGCTTCCTTTGACTACTTCTCGGAGAGCTACGAAAACCAGATCCCGTATCTGATGAGGCTGCCAAGGCTGATCGTGACAGGAGCTTTATGCGGTAATTCACTCGCTTCGCTATACTACTGCAGCTATTACTCGAGATCTGGAGAAACACGCCTATCTGATTTGCTCATTAGAGTGTTATTTGTTCATGTATAGATGACTAAGCGCTTCTTCAGTATTTCACGAGAACCTTCTGTTGAAGGTGTATTAATTAGGCCAAGAAATCCCTTCAGATGTTGTTTAAATTGCGGGACGTGATAGGAGCGCTGGCAATCCATCGATGTATATAAGAATGCTTTCCCACCTTATCCATGAATAAACCTCAATGATTCAAAGCTCATAAACATACTGTTTCAACACGTTCATAATGACGCAAACTGAGTTCCTGATCAACACGAGGAGGATGAGGTATACAGGTGAAGCAATGGTATCGCCTATCCCATATCTTTATATCCCCCGTTTATCTGAGCTCAGATCCTGGCTAACACTGTGGTAGGCTGCTCTTAAGAGATATAGAAGGGACGTCAACATCCAAGGAGACGATAAAGAAGGTGATGACGTATCATATAAGGCCCGGTCAAGGTGTCCATCATCGGGGCGAGTCTGGCTGGAGAGCACGCTGCCAGCTTGCCCTCCTCAGGCAGCAAAAGGGCGACACATAGGAGCATACGCGTTAACAACCAAGGTTGCCCCATGGGTCAACAAACCCCTCCAGAACTATCAGCCGTCTGAAGAAGTTCTAGATTTGGTCAAAGAGTCCGCTTCAGAATTTCACGCCGTCGTTGAGAAAGAGAGGCAGTCAAGCTTTGGTCTTCACGATCTCGACGCAATCGAGCTCACGTACCAATTCACCCTGGAGATCAGTGCTGCTATTCTCCTCGCTGCGGATAAGACCGATGACCCTGTCTCATTATCGCTCCAGTACCACACGTCCAGGGCTGGCGAGGACGACCATTTGAAGTCCTGGGGCAGACTTCTGACTAACCTTGAATGCGAGCCTCCTATTATTGCCCAATTCCCCCTTTACCTACTCATGTGCCAATCCTTCACGTACGAACCCACCAATCACAGGGAAGATTACGTATATTCGGCACTGACAGGTGTTGACTGGGTACGTGTGCTTCCAATCTGGCATACGCCTTCCGACTAACAGTGGATTTCAATATTAGGCCAAGGGCCAGAACAAGTTCAACGATCAAATAGGGGCTTTCGAGGCTTTAGCGTGGTCGTCCGTACCAGATCTAGATGATAAGAAATCCGGCGAAGACAGATGCTTCTGGAGGATTGCGCTAGCGTATTTATCAGCGATGAATCAATGCGAGAACGCGAGGGATTTCAAAGCCCCGCGGATAGCACATATCGCCCACGATCTTGATATTGACGCTGTCATTGCGGCTCGTGCGCTCGATACCATCGGCTCTGCTTTCATGTGCCGAGAGGGCGCTGCATGGCTCGATGATCAGGGAATGGATTCCCTGATCGGCACTGGCTTGGTGAACGATGTAATGGATCTTCACACTGATATACTGACAGGCGAGACGCGGAACTTGCTGCGTCTGCTATATCCTCCTAGCGAGAGTATTTCTTACGCCATACAGACTACTTCGATCCTCCTATCGTCCACTCTTTGCGAAGTCTTCAGGGCACACCATCGTGCCCGTATGCATAACCGGGAGGACGGGCGTATATCTTCCACTTCACCTGCGTACAGCTTTTCCCGGGCGCGTCATCGAAAGATCTTCGAGACCCTCGAGTTGTATATCAACAGATATGCAGACTTCTGGGACTGGTGAGACATCTTATAACATATTACGCATGGCAGATTTGCTGACACGCTTTCAGGACCTGGGATATCTACCGCGGTGCGAAGGCGCAAATAACCGAGCACGCTATCGCCGAGCCCCTCGTCTCCGGAATCAAGCGAGCAGTCCATCATCCCAAACTGCCGGATTCGCCCCCAAACAACTTCTTCCATCAATGGTACGACATGATCGAGGACGGCGCCGAGCAGCTAGCGCACAAGCGTCCGCTCGGCGTAAGCGCAGATCTAGCGCCCATCATACGCGAGTTGCATGCTCTCTGGCACAGCGAGCTCCTCGCGGATGGTAAAGCGCCGGGATGGGGACGCGAGTTCGATTGCAGATCCGATGCGCTCCTGGAGGCTGCGGGGGATATCTTGGCTGAGGGGACGAATAGGTCGGAGGATATGTACCATTTCAGCGTTGCGTATGGGAGACTCAGTATGGGGCTGCCGTATATTGCTTATCATACTATCGATGCGATCATTATGACCTTTGGCATCATTGACCCGTCGGTTGATAGCTCGGGCTGAGAGTAAGTTGTTTTCCGGGTGCTAGTGATTCTGTATAGAACAAGTATCTAAACAGACCCACGATTTACAATTGAATATCGACTCCCATTACTGTCTTCAGCGCCTCATTGTATCTTCAGCTTAGATTTTATTCCTCTCATATAGTCTTAGAGCTCAAGATACCACCCCCTAATAAATGCCAGGATGGGAATTATGCTATCGACCCTCCAAAGCTTCAGCTTTCCGAGTAATTGTGATAACATCAAGTCATACTAGTGTTATGCTTTTGTGTATCATGTCAGGGAGTGCTCTAGGCTCCCAGAAGCTGATTAGAGGGCGTTACACACGCGGAATGCGGTGAATACATCTAAACCCTACCTATGTGAGTCGCCTACTAACTTCGGCCGCACGCTTTGCTTGAATACTCCAACTGTGAGATTTATCTTGTATTCAGAAGCAAAGCTTTTAAATCAGCACTGGGCTTATACGGGAGATCTTGACGGACTTCAATCGTACATAATTAGAGCTAAGGTCAGCCACATAAACCTTGGCCGTTATAGTATATCATTATACTATGAATACCTAGGTAGCTTTGAGTCTAAGCCCTATGCGCCAGCCACACCCATACACCGGAACACTTGGCAGGACACGTCAGGCATGGGCTCTCTGCTGCATCGGTAGCACATGCTCTTGGTATAGTGGGACTGGTGTGGTGTTACAAGTGACACAGAGACATTCCTTCGATACCACGCCTTTCGGCCCGCGTACATGTTGTCGACTTTGGCTTTATCATTCATAGCTAAGTTTTCAGAGCCAAAAATGACGAAGAAAGGCGCAGGAGGACAAACGCGCGTCGCACTTATTAAGTCAGATATTACCTTAGGGCCAATGGCTTTCCTTGACTAATGATATTCGTATCGCGACAAACTAAGCAACGAACAACATTGGGAAAAAGCCAAGATTACGTTGGATCAAGGATTCGGCAAAGAAAAAAAAAATACCCGATCAGGTTAGATGCTACCTTCCTTCTTGTCCATAGTTTGCTGTAATGGACTTTGGAAATATCACCCTTTATAAATTTATGATTGGACGTTTAGTTATGCAAATAGGACTTCACTTACACCCCAAGACCGACGTTGCATTCAATGCGCCTACAGCACATTTATTCTAGCGCGACAGCTTGGCGGACTTTCGGCATTTGTCTACTTGTACCCAAACCGACCAGATCCAGCAATAGTGACCCTGTATTTTCATCGGGTGATGCCTAAATTGCACCATCATTTCCTAGTTGATACTGAACACTCTAACTTGCCGAAGGGGTCATGGTATTTGGGTAATAGATTACTTACTAAAGAATCTGCTCCCAGTGCCATCTGACAGCTTACTGTAAGTACCTGCTCTTCCCCTTGTCTCCCAGGTCACTGTGCTTACAGCCCACAGGCGCAAATGGTCCTTTACAAGATTCCTATCCACATATATCGCAAGTAAGTACCGTGCGTTCATCCACTGGCTTCTCCACTAAGAACATATCCAGACGCATAGAAGTTTGATTCGTTCGTCTCATGCCTCTTGAACTCTAACTATCTAATTATCTGATAGTCTACAATGGAGTTGCATGCAACAACCAGCTTTAATGAATATGGCCGCCGCCTTTTACCACACGTCATTGATGACATAGCAAAAAAAGACCCAAACCGCGAGGCCTTCATGAGCCCACGCTCAAATAACCCTGAGGATGGCTGGGCTATTACTACTTTCAGCTCTTACGCCAATGCAATAAACCGTTGTGCACATGAAATAGTAAACAGGCACGGCGAGGCTACCCAAGGTGAATTTCCAACGATAGCATATATCGGTCCCCAGGACGCACGATACCTGGTGATAGTTATAGCCGCTATCAAAGCAGGGTATAAGGTACATCAGCTGGTGGTCAATCGTGGTATATGCCAATAGCTCGTCTTGCTGAAACATAACACAGGTACTCTTAATTTCGCCCAGAAATACACAACAAGCTCAGATCAGTCTCTTTGAGAAGACGAATTGCTCTATACTCTGGCTTAGTGACAACATGAAGGCGGTCGTCGACCCCTGGCTCCTTGAGCGACATATGGAAACACTGGTGGTAAAGCCACTGGAGGAATGGTTCTCAACAGAGGACGTTCCTCATTTCCCTTTCCAAAAGACATTCGAACAAGGCGAATGGGAACCATTCTGCGTACTTCATACGAGCGGCAGCACAGGCCTTCCAAAGCCTGTCATTCTCAAACAAGTAAGTGCTCTTTATTATGGAACTGGCTACAAATGCTGATCGTTTCTCTAAGGGAGTCCCTGCTCTTGCAGATAAGTGGCATACGATGCCAAGTTGGGAGGGGTCTCAATACGTATGTAATATCTGGCGTGCTTTCTGCTGAGTTAGCCCCTCGAGGCGGCGGGACTACCTTCCAAAGGGTAGATATCGTGTTCCTCCTGCCTACCGACTCCCTAGAATAGGGGCAACCGCTAACTTTGGTCGATAAGTGGCATGCCGAATGGTGCAAGCGCGTAAACAGATACTTTACTCCTGTATGTCAAAAGCCCGGCCAGTTTCAATTATATACTGTAACTAATCTGCCGGCAGATGCCCCTATTTCATTCAGCAGGCCTATGCTTGTTCTTCTATAATTCCGTCTACTGGAACACAACTACAGTGCTTGGGTTCCCTGACCGACCGGTCACAGCAGATCTTGTTCGTCAATGTCTAACACATACGAAAGTTGAGGGCGCAGTATTGCCCCCGTCGATTCTTGAGGACATGTGTCAGGATTCGTGCTCTGTGGCTGCTTTGTCTAACCTCAACGCGGTTCTGTTTGGCGGTGGTATGTCAATGCCCCTGGCTTTCAAGATATCTCATAAGCTTACTGCCCTGTAGGTCAGCTTTCTAAGAGCACAGGAGATAGGTTGGTGAAACAGAATGGTATATTTTCTTGCATCCTCCTTCACAGCTCTATTGTACTATATCCCGATATCTTGCAGCAAGATTTCAGTGCATCTTACCTTTATTGCTGGCCAGACACTAATCTTAACCTCTCCAGTGCGGTTGATAAATCTGATTGCTGCCACTGAGTGAGTCGCTTCTCCTTGCTCCAAGCATTTCATCGAACCCGTATTACGTCCATCTAAGCAATACTGATAAGGGCCTTTTAGATCTGGCAGTTGGCCACTGTACTTTGTTGAAAGATCAGAAGACTGGCAATACTTCAAGATCAACTCGGACGTATTTGGTGCAGACTGGCGTCATGTGCACGAAGGTTGCTATGAGCTAGTAATCAAGCGAAAAGATCAACATCCCGGATTTCAAGGATTTTTCTACACATTCCCGGAGCTACAAGAGTACAGCACAAAGGACCTTTACAAGCCTCATCCCACGCTACCTAACCATTGGATGTCTTACGGTCGTGCCGATAACATTATAGTATTCTCCAACGGTGAGAAGCTGAACCCAATCACTATTGAGCAGACGATAGAAGGTCACCCAGAAATCAAGAGCGCAGTGGTGATAGGTTCAAATAAATTCCAAGCTGGTCTTTTATTAGAGCCTACTCAAGATCTTACGAACGAAGAGAAGTGCGAGCTTATTGACAGGGTTTGGTGTCTCGTGGAGCAAGTGAATAGAGACACGGTTGCCCACGGACGCATTACTAAAGAGCTCATCACTACCACCAACCGGGGCAAGCCCTTTCCTCGAGCCGGGAAAGGTACTATTCAGAGATCGAATATACTCAAGCTATACGCCGAAGAAATCGATCAGCTTTACAAGCAAGCAGAGGCAGGCTCTCTGCTTCACATCACGGCCGTGGATATCGATGTGGATTCAGAGGAATCATTAACGGGCTTTGTATCAAGCGTCTTTAAGTCACTTGCACAAGGAACCAAATTAGATCCAGACACGGATTTCTTCTCCGCCGGGATCGACTCCCTCCATGTCATGAATGCGTCAAGGGTCTTTCGTGCAAGCATCTCGAAAGCACCGCACACCTTTGATCCCAACTTGATAAACTCGCGAACGGTCTACAACAATCCTACGCCGGCCCAACTTGCTCGACACATCAAGCGTTTAATTGCTCGAGATGTGACCGTGATTCCTAACGGCGAGGCCACTTCTGAGTCCGATACAGCTAAGAGACTATACAGGAAATACACCCGTCATTTTATCAAAAGCAAGCCCAATCGACCGGAAGCACCCGAGGATAACCAAACAGTGTTGTTGACTGGCTCGACAGGAAACCTAGGTGCATACTTGCTGGATCAGCTTGTTCGTACCTCGTCAGTTAGCAAAGTCATTTGCTGTAACCGGGCCAGTGACGGCGGCGCTCAACAACAAAAGGCACAGATCGAGAAGCGAGGATTACTTGCGCAGAATGCAGGCTACGCGACGAAGGTGGAATATCTGAAGGTCGACCTGTCAAGGAAACAGTTCGGCATCTCGGATGACAAATACGAGCGGCTCAAGAAGCAAGTGCATCGTGTGATTCACAACGCTTGGCCCGTGAATTTCAACTTCTCAATCGAGACATTCGAGCCACACATCCGCGGCGTACGCAATATCGCCGACTTTGCCGCGCAAGCAGACCGCCGCGTTGCTGTTGTTTTCATCTCATCTGTCGCGAGTGTATCGCGATGGCCCATGAGTCGCGGCCCCGTACCAGAGAAAAGATTAGAAGATTGGGATCTCCCGGGAAATAGTTACGGCCGCAGCAAGATGTGCGGGAGTCTTATCCTCGAAGATGCGGCCTTGGCTGGAGACTTTCCTGCCGCCTCGATCCGCGTGGGGCAAATCGCAGGCTCTGAAGAGGAACTGGGGCTTTGGAATCGTCACGAGTGGCTGCCAAGCATCGTCGCCAGTAGTGTATATCTGAAAGCGCTACCATATGAACTAGGCTCTTCGGACTGCGTGGACTGGGTCTCCGTCGAACGCGTCGCGCAGTTGGTGCTAGATGTCATAGGTGCCGTGCCTACTAGGGGTCGGAATGCTGGCACGGAGGAGATCAGCGGGTATTTTCACGCCGTTAATGATTCCGTAACATCTTGGGGAGATCTCGCGCCGGCAGTGAAGCAGTTTTACAAAGACCAGATCAAGGAGCTGGTAAGCTTCAAGGACTGGGTTGACAGGCTGGAGGAGAGTGACTCTGAAGACGTCGAAGTGAATCCGGGCCTGAAGCTCTTGGATACGTACCGAGAGATGACGTGCGCTAGAACTCCGCCTCTAGTGCTTGATCTCGAACGCACGAACAAGCGGAGCCAAGCGATGAGAGAAGCGCCTATGATCTCCCCTGAACTGATGACTAGATGGTGTAAACAATGGGCTGCGCGATGATCACGATGGTTTGACGTGTGAGCATGGGAGGTCAAGAAAAGGAAGGGTGCGATTGCTGAAGAAATAGAGATTGAGGCCTTCCGTACACTGCGAAGAAATACCTGCACATTTTATCCCATTTCCCTTTAATCCTTGAAAGCTGGCGCCCCTTTTTGCGAGTAGTAGTAATGTCAGGGGCTAATCTGCCAATACGCTAGCTCGGATCATCATAGGGCCGAATATGCTAGTATATTCACGCCTGTCCGCATTGCGAGTTGTTGAAATAGTACTCGGCCATGCTACGACACCCCTTTGTTTCTGACCCATGCATCCTCGTGGTGTTTAATTGAGTACATAGGAACGTAGATAGGCTAGCATTCTGAGAGAGGAATTGTTAGTAGTATCTGTACATAGTAGTCTATGCCAGGCACTTGAGCCTAGTCCGACCAGGGGTCGTATCCAGTGTCGGGATGTGGCCACCCAAAATCTTCGGCGATATCCGACCAATGCAGAACTTCTTCTTCATCGTCCGACTCAATAGCGTAGCTGCTACTTCCACCCCTGGCCCTCATTCTGTGACGTTTATTTGCTTTCTCTTCTTTCTTTGCCCGCCGCTCCGCCTCCCGGCGTATCTGATCGAGGGTCTTAGCTTCAGCCCAAGCCCTGAATGCTGTCTTGTTTCGGGCTCGGGTACAGAACAGCACAAGCTCCCGCGTAGCAAGCACATCCTCCATACAATCATGAATGCCGTCCTTACCCTTCCTGATTTGAATCTTGGGAAGTTCGGAGGATAGTTTTTGCAATCCAAATCGAACACGATGTCCCCCAACCATAATTTCTGACAAGATACTGGAATCCACAACACGGGGATGAATCATCCTCAGCGCACCCAGGTCATGCTCCAAGGCATGACCAACAAGTATAGTTCTATCGTCGATATGTTTCCACAGCTCAGATCGAGCCCCTTCCCAAGCCGATAACGCCTTCCCTTGCGCGGTCGCTTCATCAAGTGAGGCTTTCGTTATACCGTGGATCGACGTTCGCATGTCGGTTATTCGTTCGTTCGGACACACTAGTCGGTTGACAAGCACTGCGCCGGTAAGAAAGTCAGTAGCGCAGAGTAGAATAACTTCACTAGCTCCGCCACCAATGCCCGCCATTTCGCAATCAAGCGCCACCGCTCGAGACTTTGGCTGCGTCGATGCACCTGGTGTCTGTCGGAAGTCCTGATGCCTTAAGGCATGTCGGGGTAGATCAAAATCGTGAGTCGGCAAAGTCCGACAGCCCCCGCCACCCGTAATGGTATCGCAACACTTATACGGCTTCTTCTTGTTCTATATGATATCGTATGATCAGCGTCTACTAAATTTAAAAGTCTCTTGCTACACGACATACCCATTTGTTCCGCTTGGATGGATGGAAGGTACATTCTTGGCGGACTATTCGTATTTGTTTGCCTATATTGAATCAACGTGGTCCTCAGAGCCAGAGGCAATACTTTTACCATGGCATTGTTTGCATATCTTTGCATTGACATAATCCTCTGGATCATATGGGCGTACGATATAGTCGTGCTCCTCGAGCTCCTTCGTCGAATGGCAGTGTGCAGATAGCTCATCGAGTGCTGTCGTGTATTCAGACGTTGTAATTCGGGACCAGGGCGATTTCGCACCTTTGGGTGTCTTCTGGATGGCAGGAGTTTTCACATGAGGGGTATTGGAGCCAGACGGGATTGCTAATGGCAGTCTTTGAGTAGATGATGGCTTGTGGCTTGACGATTTTCGCAGATGTTGGTCAAGACCACTCTGATCCTTGAAGGACCTGTTACATGGTGCACAGTAGGCGGACATCTTTGTTCACGAAGGCCGGGTGGAAGTAGCTTCTAATTAGAATACTCGCGAGGGATGATGAAGAAAGGGCAATGATCCCTGGCCTGATCGAGGTATTAGAGCAGGTCAGGGTCTGTCAGGGGTAGCTAGGGACCTCGAATCAGACGAATACACATGATCAAGGAGATACGCCCCAAATGCGACGCTGTTATTGCTACACGCGCTGTAAGCGCTAGATACCTACTTTCTACGCCTCTGTACGTGTGGCTTGTAGATCTCCGTTGCGCCAATGAACCAAGACACAACCTTACCATGTGGACAATCAAGCTTCGCAGAGGCTCCCCGGCCGTCCGTCCTTTTATTTACTCTCTTGTATTTACCAACCCATGTAGAGCCTTACTACCTGCACCCTCTCTACAGGCTTCAAGTCTCAAGGTCGGCAAAACAATGCACACATCTACGCTATAAATTACCGAGGATTACAAGCAGTGATATATGATAGCTCATTTCGCATTTTCTTCAAACCAGGATATCCATATCACATACCGGGTATACTTTTGGGGGCCGAATTGACCTCTCAAGCCCCAGGAAATTAGGGGAAGTCAATTAGTAAAAATATGTCGTGGGCTGTCTGCTAGATGCCGCCACAATGGGTAGAGGGGGGCTGTGCGGGTTGATTGTTGTCTGACCCAGTCAGTACCAGCTCGCCAGCTAGGATGAGAATAGAGTAACCGCTGACGTAGGTTTGGGTTGCAAATATACATCAGGCTTGTCACGGTAGGTCAATACTAAGGGTGATGGATATATACGACCTCGACCTCGACCTCCGTACAGTCCCTACAACGATAGAGCTAATCACCGCATCGTAAGCATTTTAAATCCTCTGGCCAAAGCTTTCTGCGACGGTGGGCTACTGGGACCACATAGGACAAATCATCGGAGATAGCCTAAGTGCTTAAGATTACCCCGCATGTTCCATTTTCTTAATAATTTTGTATTATATAAAGAATTATCTAAATAATTTAAAGCATTAAAGTTATGCCTTAAGCTTTATTTAATATTAACAATTTTTATAATAAAATTATTGCTTTATATAAAGCTAAAACTTTTATTTTTACTATCTTTATTAATTTTAATTAATAAAGCTATTATTATATCTTTTATATATTATTTTATTGTATCCAAACTTAGCATTTAATAAGCTGTTAAAATTAATTCCAATTTAAAGAAATCCTCTTTTAAATCTAATTCCTCTTCTTTATATAAAGCTAAAAAAATAAATCTATTTAATAAAACCTAATTAAAGCTAATTACCTTATAACTTATTATATAATTAAATATATTTAATATAAATATAATATAAAGTAATAATATTATATAAATAAAAAATATAATAAAGCTATATAATAAATAATAAAATAGTTTAAATAATATAGTTATAAATATAAGTTAATATTATTATTAATAAAAATTAACTTTATTAATATTATAAAGCTTATTAATTAAAGTTTATATAATAGTAAAGTTATTTAATTATTTATTAATATAGGAAGTATATAATTTTAAATTAAAACTTTATATAATATTTTAATAAATATATAAAGCTTTAAAAGATAAAAATTAAAGTTTATATAATAACTTTTTTTTTTATATAATAATTAATTTATTAAATCTATAGCTATATTAATATATATTTATATATAATTATTTAAATTTATATTAACTTTATTACCTATATTATTATAAATATTTTAAAGTAATTCCTTTATATAATAAATAACGCATCTCCCACTTGACCTGGCCACCCCCCTAGCCCATACAAATAACGTCGGTGCGCTAATCACGTGATAATTTAATAACTTTACGAATTTTAATCGTATGAAATAATAAAATATACCATTGGAT